GACAGACAGACAGACAGACAGACAGACAGACAGATACACATACGCAAATACTCCTACGTACATACCTACCACATGCACGCATGCATGCATGCAAACATATATATGTATATATATATATACATGTATACACACACATGCATTTACATACCCATGTGTATACATATATATATATATATACATATACACACGTAAACACATGCATGTTGTGTGTGTGTAAATATAAATAAGTGTGTATATATATATGTATACATATATGTATGTATATATATATATATATATACATGAATTATCGTAGAGCGACGGCGACAACGACCACCACCCTGAATATGAGGACGACAGCACAACAACATCACAAAAACGGCATCGTCTGTCTGGCAAACGGTAGCAGCAAGAATGAGACACTGCAGCAGCAAACATCATGAGTGATTGCAGTAGCATGTTGTTGACATCAACGTTGAGGAAAACATCACCTTCAAATCAAAGCACACGCAAAGTCCCATTAAGAGAAAGGGTATCAACTCCGCCAGAACACAATGCTCGATATGCTGGAGAAAGCAAACGCCATGAAGTAGCATGTTTCTGATGATGGCGACGAACACGGCGAAATCAACCGCAAGTGGTCTTAGAAATGCTACTACGGATGCCGGTGATTATGATGCTGCTGCTGCCGAAGACGATGATGGAGTGGAAGTGTAAGCATATTCAACCAGGAACAACATATGACAGCAATGCAGCTGCTGACACGACCAAGCGCGGTGCTATCAGCTTTTGCATTCCCCTTGACAGCGCGTGTGAAATCAAATCACTTTCCCACTACCACGCACCAAACCTGAAGCCCCATACATCAAAAACCACCCCGCGCCCCCACCCTAAACCCTGAAGCCCTACAGCGCTACACCCAAAACCTAAGCCCTAGCTAAAACCCTACACCCAACCCTAGGCCTAAAACCTAAACCCTGAAAGCCCTGAAAACTAAAATCCTGGAACCCTAGAGCACTAAAAGGCCTAAGCTCAGAGAGGACCGGCCTGGTGGCCGCGACAGAGCAGCGAAGTCCGCCTTGTTAGAGCCACGCATCGATAGGAAGTTGAAGGCCAGAAACTTGTAGTACCTTGAATTTGGGGGGCTTTGGTTTAGGGTTTACGGTTTACGGTTTAGGGTTTAGGGCTTCGGGCTTAGGGTTTAGGGTTTAGGGCTTAGGGTTTAGGGCCCTAAACCCTAAACCCTAAACGATCTTCGGGCTTAATGGCTTGAAGGCTCTAGAGCTTTATGGCTTGGGCTTTTGGGGCTTAGGGGCGTTTAGGGTTTTGGGGTTTAGGGTAGACCCTTGGATCATCTAGCGCTTCGGGTTTATGGTTAGTCGTTTTTTCCCCGTAGATTTCCTTTATGCGCGACAAAAAGCAGCAAGCACAGTTCAAGTTTGTGATGAACATGTCAGAATTTCAAGTTATCGGGTTTCAGGGTATTGCATAGGTATTACCTGGACCTATGTAAGGAAACCATCAGAAGAAACCCTAGAATCCAGGAAGGTAGGCTCCTTAAGAAGGAAACAACCCCGAAATCCCACATCCCCTTGTCATGAAACCCTCAGGCAACAGCCACGAAAGCCCGATACACCGAATCCAGACAACACCAAACACAAAACCCGAACTCCTCAAATAATGGAACCCTCAGCGTAACCCTCAACCTAAGCCCTCGGGCAACGAGCTTGGTAGGATGTCTTGTAAGTTCTGAGATCCCACGATAAAGAGATGAAGTACACAATCTGCTTTATTGGCTATGGCAAATTGAAGTCATGTCCTCAACATTCATCTAGACTAGGGTTGTCGGATTAACCAGGGGATTTGGGGTGGGTTGAAAGTTTCTGTTTCTTGTTCGCTGTTTGGGGTTCATGGAAATGGGTCCCAAGGGCAACACACACACACACACACAAAACCCACCCAGCCTTTATGGAAGCTGTACCAGCCAACCCTGTGTTCATTATCACTACAACCGCCCTGATCGACCAGAACCCTAGACCCTGAAAACACCAAAAGCCCTAAAATCTCTAAGCCCTAAAACCCCTAAAACCCCTAGAACCCCCTGAAAAACCCTAAAAAACCCTGAAAACCCAACACCCAAAATGCAAACGCCCCGTGGCCACTGCTCACTTGTGAGCTCACCAGGCTCTCCCTCGTAGCCATATGAGCTGAGAATACGAGGTGGCCCCTCGGGGACCTTGTTTAGGGTTTAGGGTCCAGAAATTGTAGGGGCCTTAAGAATTAGACTAGGGTTTCTTCAAGGGTTCCTTTAAAGGGTTCCATAGTCGGTTTAGGGCTTTAGGGTTTAGGGTTTGTAGGGGTTCAGGGTTTAGGGGTTTAGGGTTTCGTGCTTAATGTAGGGGCCTTAACAATTAGAACAGGGTTTGGAGGTATGTTATATTACCATCATAGTAAGAAGCCCGCAAAAATGGTAAAGGTAGCCGTTAAGGCCCCTATATTACACACGTAAACATGACATCTAATTGGTTGCTTAAGGTTTAAGGGTTCAACCTCTGAGGCTCCAAAACCCCTCAAAGCAACGATTGCATTACCCTAACTTGCACCTTGTTCCGGATTAAAAAGTATAGTTGCATTCATAAATGAAGACACAAATGAATCAGGACACTTGTTACGTCTGCGCAGAGAGGGCTGTATAGGGTTTAGAACTTTTGGGCTTGTGGGCGCGGAGTTTCTGCATTGGGATTGTGTCTGAGAACTCAGCGGCCGTTGCGAAGGTAAGACAAATGTAGGAACCTTCTTCATTAGGGTTCCTTAACCGAATCCTACTTTTTTGGGGGTTATAGGGCAGGGTTTCCGCAAATGGTTCCCACAGTAAGATTCAGTTGTGTTCATGCTGCATTAACACATGTATGCCGCAACCGTCCCCTCCCTCAATCTTGAAATTGGGTGAACAGCTCGAATAACTGCAGCAGCAAGAGATCAGAAACCCGCACTCTTGCATCCCACTTCATGCAGGTTCTGAAGGATACTGCTATACTTCTTCAGGGGAGGGGGTTCTCAAACCCCGCCAGACTTGCGGTATATTCCGTAACTTAACTCTGTGAACTAATTCGGGGTCCATGTTAGTCTCTGCATAAGAGGCATGCAGATCAATGGGATCCTTGGGAGAAGAGCGGCTTTGGTTTAGGGTTTACGGCTTAAAAGCCGTAACAAGCAGAATAAGTTTAGGCTGCATTGTAGTTTGGTGATCCCCCCGCGCCTTGAGCACCGCGTCGGTTAGCAGCAAGGTCTTCGACCGCCGGTGGAAAAAGGCCGTCTCCGCATACCTTTGTTGGATATTGCAGTAACCCTCCAATTTCTGAAAGACAGTGCAAACCGAAACAGCTCATAGTGACCAATGGTAGCAGCAGTATACATAGTAGTCGCCGGATTCGCCGAGACGTCGTCGCAGTTGCAGTGGCACAGCAGCAAAAAGAAGGAGCAGGAGTAGGAGCAGGAGCAGCAGTGGGAGTGGGAGGAGCAGGCGCAGGAGCAGGAGCAGGAGNNCGTCGTCGTCGTCGTCGTCGTAGAAAAGCCCCTAAACTCCCCTAAATCACGAATCCCAAGTCCAAGCCAAAGACCCTTAGGATAGCTTCGGGGTCTGATTCCTGGTTCACTGGAATACGAAACCTGTCCTGCCTCCCTCAAGGCTGGCTAGGGAGTTAGGGCTCAAAGCTTAAGGTTTGGGGTAACTGCTGAGTCGGCGGTCTGAGACATGAAACGCAAACACATGAGCTGAGAGACACTGCGGTTTTTGGGTTTATGGGTTGAGGAGCAAGTTTTGGGAAGTACGTTGTGTTTCGGGGTTGTGTTATGGATTACATATTTTTGTATTGGTTTCGGGAGGTGCTTTGTGTTTTGTTGTGTTTGAGAGGTTGAGTTCTTAGCCGGATTGAGAAATGGGGTGAAAGTGGAGCGGGGTGTAGGATGTGGGGTGTTGGGGCAGCCACTGCTTGCTTTAGGGACCTTTTGCGAGCCAGGGCACGTGCCTGCTGTGTCAGGGGGCGCAACGAAGAACACCTCCCAACACCATGGTTTTGGTAGTGCTAAGTCGCAGGCACACCTATAGGCTTCCATGATATCATAGCACAACCACCGACTCGAGTATCGCAAACGGTGGTAGTCGCGGCAATAGTAAGTAGTAGTCGTCGGGTAGCTGTGGTGGTGGTGGTGGTGG